ATGAGCCTGCTTCGGCCTACTCGGTGAACAGCGACCCTAAACCCTAAACCCTAAACCCCTAAACCCTAAACCCTAAACCCCTAAACCCTACACCCTAGACCCGAAGAGGCTTGTCTGCACGATGTCACCTTCCACAAAGGCAGCATATACATCGTTGACCCCGGGCGCCTTGTGAGCAAGAACTTCTCAATTGGGTGGTTGTCAAAATTAGGGTCCCTTTTTGGGGTACCCTAAATAATAGGTGCCGTATTGTAACAAGGACCCAAAAAGGGACCATAATTTTGACAACCACCCAATTGTGCTTTGCACTTTGCTTTTTAGATGTCGTCTTCTGTTTCCGGATAGGCTTCTATGCAGGCCGGGATCGGCTTCTTATTTGCATGTGGGTTTAGAGTGCAGCATGCGTCACAGCCGCGCGGATTTCTCGCATTTGGGGGAGCGGGGGGGTAGAACATGTTTTGTCTCTATTCGTGTGCAAAGTGCACGCCAAGATGCCGGGGGTACTACCATCCCAATTGCCGCAGCGATGTGTCGTGAGTTACGGCAACGTCCCATCGCTTAAACCCCGAAAGCATTAATAAACTGGGAATCAGCCAATCAATCAAGCACTCCTTCAATCATTCATTCATTCGTTCATTCATTCAGTCAATCACACCCGCATAGTATGCGCGTGTATACACGTATACAGATACAGACGTGAGTGTGTGTGCGTACATCTTTCGTTTTCAGGTGTATGTAGATGCAGGTATGTGATATTGTGTGCCTATATGCATATAAACCCCTAAACCCTAAACCCCAAACCCCGTATCTTCAGGTGGAAAAATCACCAAACCCCGATGGATACAAACCTGTAGGATACTCCATAGAAGGACCCTCCAATCAGACGGACGCTTAGTGGAACCGCTTGCAGAAATCTTCGAACTCCCAGAAATGCGATTGAACATCCCACAAGAATCCTACAAACCCTATCTATCGGGGATTCAAAACCCTATGAAATCCCACCGAAACCCTAAACCCTAACCCTAAGAGTCCAAAGGACCCAATAATAAGGTACTTTGGTTGCGGATAGTAGTTTTTTAGGTTAATATTTGGGAGAGTATATGATTATTAGGTACTTGGACGCTTAGGGTAAACCCTAAACCCCCCGAAGCCGGGCTCTGGAAGCCTCAACGAGGTGCTCTGCAGAGAGTGGCGGGCGCATCTTGGAGCTCGCGCCTGGGAAAGAGGAGGCGGCGGTTTTTTTTGGTGACGAGACTCTGCCTGGGTTATGGGGCTGGGGTTTTGGGTTTTGGGTTATGGGTTATGGGTTTAGGGTTTAGGGTTTAGGATGTAGGGGGGCTAAGGATTATGGGTTTAGGGTTTAGGATGTAGGGTGGCTAAGGAGTTGAGAGGAAAAAGCCAGAAAGTTGAGAGTTGGAACTGCATTCTCCTGGCACCCTTAAGGTAAATTATAAGGGACCCTAGCACAAATCATCCGAAATCCATGTTCCAACTGGGTATAGATGGTTTACCTGTGGCCCCAACCCTAAACCCTAAACCCTAAACCCTAACAGACCTACTGCTCCAGTGAAGTCTGTAAAGGCCCAAACCCTAGAGCCTCGTTCAGGGTGAAAAAGTTTAGGGGTTTAGGGCTTGAGTTTTAGGGTTTAGGGTTTAAAGTTTAGGGGTTTGGGTTCAGAGTTCAGATAAGTTTAGGGTTTAGGGTTTATTGTGTAGGTTTTTCTGTATGTTGGCCTTTAGCCCTGGAGCTCAGGAGAAGAAGGTAGCACCCTTATTATAAGGAGCCCTTACTACCAAGAGCCCAAAATCAAGGTATCCTAAACCCTAAAAACCCTAAACTCTAAACCCCTAAACCCCTAAACCCCTAAACCCCTAAACCCTAAACCCTAAACCCTGAACCCTCGCCCTGGAGCTCAGGAGAAGAAGGTA